GCACCTCATGTATTTGCCCTGGTTGAGTAATCTGTTTGCATCTGGGTAGACCACACACAGACAAATGTGAACTCTGTTTATATTCATTTCCTGCCTGGGAACTTGGTTCCTCTGGGTCACAGCTTTGGAACGATTGATAGATTGGAAATTTACTGGTATAGACTTGGATGCAAAAACTTCCTTGAACCCACCTTGGGGGCTGTCCTGAATAACCTACGGCTACAGCTAAGGGGACTCTAGAACAATTGCATAAGTGTCATGCCTGAATACAAGATATTCAATGGAATCAAGACATTTAGTACAGTGGGACCTTGAGCAGTGCAGGGGTTAGGGGTCCCCACCCTCAGCGCAGTTGAAAGTCTGCATATAACTTTTGACTCTCCCAAAACTTAACTACTAATAGCCTACTGTTAACTACAAGCCTTACAGAAAACCTAGGTAATTGGTTAACGTATATTTTGTATGTTATATGTATTATATACTATATTCTTACAATAAAGTAAGATAAAAAAAGAAAATGTTATTAAGAAAATCATAAGGAAAATACATTTATGGTACTGTAAGTATTTTTGAAGAAATCTGCATACAGGTGGATCCATGCAGTTCAAGCCCATGGTGTTCAAGGGTCATCTGTATTCCCATCATATAGATACATCCGCTGAAACCCAGAATTGTCTAAAGTTATATTAGCTAGGTAATTCCCATTATATATCACCTGTACCTCTCAGTACTGAGCAGAGTTCCCTGTTATTTTCTCCGTGCCTCTCCCAGGCAAATCAAGAAGCTCCGCTGTCAGAATTCCTGAAGACAGACAGATTCACCCCCCAACCCCATTTCATGTGAGCAGAAGTCTGCACAGGGCCAAGAGGAATGGGATTCAGTTCAGGGGACTGGAAACTCCTAGGTCTTCTCTGCGCCAGTCTTGGACCAACCACAGAGGATGCCAGGGCCTCTTTCCCCATGGTGATGATCTGGCAGAATCTTTGCAGGATCAACGTCAATAATATCTCCTGCTTAACCTCACTTCCACCATTGGGTTTCAGGCAAAAGTGGAGAAGGAATCGATGAGAAAATACCGTAAGCCCTCTAGGAAGACCCTCATTGGCACCACCTCCATGAGGGCCACGTCTCTGGGTCCCACCCTTGGGAGCCCGGGAGAGAGCGGGTTCAAGTTTGACAGCGTGCAGGATGCCTGCTATTGCAGTGAGCATCACTATCTTATTAGAAATTACAGCCACCAGAACTCCATCTCCAGCACGCTGCTTGGCATTATGAGACTTACAAAAGGAACACACATAAGAAACAGTTACAGCTTTCACAGAGTCTATATTCCGGCTGCTGAAGTCAAGCACGTGTATAAAAAATATTCAAATAGGAGCTTATAGGCTTCGTCGAAGCGCTATCCATCAGCGTTGCGAAAACACTGCGCGCGATAAATGACCCCTTGGCCACTCCTGATTTATAACACCCAGGGACTGTCGAGGATGACAGCGACTTTGGGAGGAAGAAAAGAATTGCTGTGAGACTAGGTGGGGAGATGTTAGACTGCCTTCGGGGTGGAGACTAGGCAGAATTAGAATCGACTTCAAGTAAGCCACCCTTTAATATTTAGCTGCTTTAGACATTAATAAGACTACCAAGGGGCCACGTCTAATATAACTTGCTGCAGGTTAAATCGCCAATGATCTGTTCAGTGCAAACGTGAGCAGAATCTGGGACAATATAGAATATTTTTAGCATGACTCTTATGAACGTGTCTTCCCTCTGTGTTGGTAACATGTAAAGTCATTTTCATGCTGCCAGGGGACCCTGCGTGCAAAGAACCCAGAGAGTAAATAACCCCAATGGAATGTGTCTCCTATTTTTCTTTTGCCGTGGTTCTTTCAGTAGCCTGTAGCTTTGAAAGTGACTTAATTAAGCATTCCGTTGGCATTGTATTTCTCATATGTGAGAAGACATCTAGCAATGAATTTCTCCCATAAAGAATGCGCAGCATACTTTGGAATTGACCAGATTATCTAGAACTTCCCTCTAAGACTCTGTTGTTCTGGCTGTCCACTGCTTTGTCTATTTTCAATGTATTTATGTATTCATTGATTATTTGTTTCCAAAGTGAATTTATCTGGCTGTCAGATGAAGTGTTTCTATGTGGCTGGGGGCAGAAGTTAGAGAAAGATCGTGAGAGATGCTGAGTGTGTCTTCATATTTGGTGCTTAGAGGTCTCTGGTCTTCCTTGTGCGTCCCTTTCAAGCCCTTCTTAATTCTGGCTTCTTTCTGGCCGTATGTCAGCTGTATATTATTCCGTTTGCAGTTCATTTCTGGATGAATTACCCGTTGCTCTATCTGCTTGTCATTGTTGTGGCTTCTTCAAGTTCCCATGTGACAGGAAAAAACAAAACACAAAAAAACAACAAACCAGTCTGAGCTTTGTAAAGGGCTGGACTTTCTATTCAAATTAGAATTATTTTTAGAAAACTGTTATAGAATTCAAGTTTTCTTGAACAAAAGGATTTACGTGAAGCCATATGTTGGTGTGATTTGCTTAGATAAAGCCTTAGAAATGTTCTTTTAGAATCCCATAACTGGTGGGCGGCTACGTGTTGTGGGAAGGCCTGCCCTGCACACCTGGAGCCTGGCAGAGCCACTGTGAGGTGTTGACGCATGAGTTCCCAGTGGCCATTCGCTCTGGAGGCACTTGGGTTCCCCAGGAAGGGCCAAAAGTTTGTTACAGTGAACTCTGTTAGCAGCCGAGTTGGGGAAGTAAGTGATCTGTTTAATCACCACCTTACCTGGATTGTCAGTTGTGAAAGGCTTAGAAAATAATGCAACAATACTCAGTTCTGAAATCACGCAGAGCATCCTTTTACCTTTCTTTGATTCAGAAGGTCGTTTAGAATCTTTGTATCCTGGGGGAGGAGTTAATAAAGATTCCAGGTCTAGAATGTCTGAAAAGCCAGCCTTTATGCTACTTACGAAGGAAAATAGGCAAGTGGAAAGGGCATAAGGTCTCCCGGGCCCTGGAGAGAGATGAGAGCCCAAAGCAAAGGTGGGCGTGTTGCAGAGATACGAACACTCACCACTGTCTGCCTCTGCTAATAGCCCTCAAAGCCATGAGGGGTATAAGAGGGGTCAAGGTAGGGCCGCCTCTTTCCCAGTTTTGCCCCCTCACCTATTAGCACCCAGTTCTGTGATGTACTTTGAAGTGCTTAATAAATGAGATGGCTCCTGATTTTCAGCAAAGGCCCGGGATTTTTCAGAAAGATCTCTCAGAGATGGACCTGATGTTGATCCATCCAGCTCATCTAGCTCAGTTTGCCTCTTACTGGATTCTCACCCCAAAACAGGCTCAGGGAACACAGCTGATAGTGCATTATCCCCCATCCTGTTGGCCTGGAGGTGCTCAGCCCATGCCATGTGACTCTGCTGTCCTAACTTGGTGCCCTGTCTCAGTACCAGCTTCCACTCGGGGCTTCCAGGCTCATCCTTCAAAGGGTTGAAAAGAGCATCACCATTTCCTTATATAAGGCGCTTTCTTACTTTTGACAAGTCCATGGACAGACAGACCTGACCTCTATGGCCTCTTGTCTGTCGTGGAGAATTATAGAAGGAGGTGATGCCCTCCCGGCCTTTAAACATCTTACCAGCTTACAGGATAGATGCAGCACAAAGCAAAACACACGAGCACTCAGATGTCGGCCAGACATGTATCATTCGTTATTTATAAATCCAATTAACGTGGCCTGGGAATACATATTTATATATACACATATCCATATGTACATAAAATTGAAGCATTTTCTGAAAAGACTGAAGTGACTAGAGCTGAGAAAAGGTGGTTTCCTAGTGTCTAAGTTGTTGTTCACAAGGAATGACCCTGAGACAAGGATTTGAAAGCAAGTAGTTTATTTGAAAAGTATTGGAAACTAGCCCCAAAACAAAGAGATATTGCAGGGTGAGAGCGGGGATTCTAACCCCGGCCCTATTCCAAATCCAGTTCACTGCAACTTGATGTCTATCAATAGGGAAGATAGCACTTTTGCACATTGAAATAGAAGGTAGGAATAAAAAATATAGATGCACTGCCCTAGGAGTTAAGAGGACAGAGGGATTACTCCTAGCTGAGAGGGTCATGACAGTCTCCTTTGAAGAGGTAGCCTTGGAAAGAGAGCTTGAATGTGGTTGGAATGTGGGCAGGTGCGATGGGGGCAAGAAGATTCCAGGCAGAAGTGAGGAGCACAAGCAAAGACTCCGGCAGGGTGCAGATACTGTGAAGTATTTGCAGTGACCTGCAAGGAGCCAAGGAGGGGGATCTGCCTGTTACCAGTGCATGGTCATAGTCAAAGACAGGCTCACTCTTAGTTTTATTATTGCTCTTAAATTCTTGGCAGATAATGTGCCCTCTGTATTATGTTTGTCCAGAAGAGACCACTCCCACCAGCCCCCACCCTTTGTTCCGCCACTGCTTTGTTAGGATACGTGCTCTTGAATGCCTTTTTCTCTCTGCCTCCTCTCCTGGTAGCCCTCCAAGTTCCTCTGATTCTCAGCCTGCGTTCTTCACTGGTGGGCTACCCACCCTGCGTTCTGGGGGAGGCAGGTTCTGTGAAGGACAAAGGGGTAGCCCTGGGTTTCCGTGAGTTTGGGGACAGGAGGGTCACAAGTGGAGCCAGGTGTCATGCTCCTTTGCTGGAGCTCTTCTGCCCCTAGGCAGCCTGACTGGAATAGACACTTTCTTCAGGATCCAAAGGATGCTCTAGAGTCAACAAGCAATGCTAGATTGACCTAAAGGGCATGGAACGTGGGCCTGGAGGAATCTTCTTAGAGCTTTGTCACTTGGTGAGAAGCTGAGAGTATGAAGTTGAAGATTGAACTCACTGAGGAGAAGACCAGGTGGTTGTTGATGTCCCTCCTTCCCCAGCCCCTTGCCCACCCCTTGTCCATTGCCCCAGGGCAAAGGAAGAAGGACCTCCTGCTAATTTCCAACTGCATTTTGCTCTCTGTAGTATTTCAGTGACAAGATCCACTGAGGGAAGTTGAGGCGAGGCTGGCTGAGGTTCTCAAGGAGCTGTTTTGAGTTCAGGTGCCCACATGGCAATGGAATGATGCCTCCTGACCTTTCAGACCTTTGAGACCTCTGGGCGGTCTTAGAAATCACCTGAAGCCTCCCATCGAGGATCCGACCACCTGGGGGACTTCCAGGGAAAGGTGGCAGGTAGAGTATCCTTTCTAACTTTTATTCCCTCTTGTCCTCCCTCCGCTCTTTCTATGTGTCTCTTGCTCTTTTGTGTCTCTTTCTCCTCAAGATTCCATAGACCAGTGCCACAGGGGTATTTATTTTACGTTCTTGTCAACAGAGATATCATGGACTGAAAGGTGATGGCTACCCCAAGGAGCTCACTGCAAGGTCTCAAAGAGTCCAAGCCTCCAGCTGCTCCAACATATAAGGCCACCGTTCTGGAGAGGAGGAAGGAAGCCATCCTGGAGGAGGTGAGGAAACATCGCTCTTCCCTCTGCCCTTGACTCCATCGACCTTTAGCTGTCGGATGGTTTGGGCCCAGGACTGATGGGCTTTCTCCTATGTGTCCTTTCACAGGCTCTGATTGTTTTGGCCAGAGGACAGACCACCTTCTAGGTGTCCTGGGGAACTGCTGAAGGACAGTGAGGAAGATGCTGCTGGTCCCCAGGACGGAAACCCAGCAGCAGGAACCAAGAGGCACCTCGCGTGGGACTCAAGCCCAGCATCCCCTCAGATGAAGCTCCCTGAGCTGTGGTTCTCCATGGGACTGTTTTCGCTTTGCCTTTATCTGCATAATGCACGGTGCTGGGTTTGGATGGGCTGGCTTTCTACTTTTTTTTTTTTCCCCTCCCTGTCTTTTCTTTTTGTTCTCTTCGCCCTGGGAACTGTAAGAAGAGAATTGCTTTAGAAAGTATAGTTCTGTTGCTGACATAAGCCTTGTTTATGAACAAATTCTGTCACTGGGGATTTTGTGCATTGCAGTCCCGGGTTCCCTAGTAAATGGGGCTGCGTGGTTTGATTTGTGTAGTACTGATCCTTAGATTAAAAATACATTTTTCTTTCTCGCTTTCTTTTTTTTTTTTAAAGTTTGGATTCAGGTAATGTCCTGAATCACATTTGCTTAGCTACTGAAGCGATCTCAGTGTGGTATCGCTTGGATTTGAAATATAATCAAACATATATTATACCAGGGGTGCCTGCACACTACTTGATATATATGTTGCGCTACAAAGAAACACAAACCTAATAGGTTGAAATTTAATTCCTGTCTGATCCTGCAGCTAGAACGGGGGAGAAATTGTACACATCAGAAATGGCTCCAAATACCCTGACTGTAAGCTAAGCAACAGTAAGTGGATTATTTCAAAATACCCTTCTCCGAGGCAAAGCAGGAACTGGAGATCAGCGGACCTCGTCCCCAGTCCCCAGTGTTGCTCAGGTCTGTCTGTGGATCTGCCCGTTTTGGAGGAGCTAGAGAATAAGGCATGCTTCTCTGTTTATGGAAATTGTGGCCTTTCCGACCTGCGTTCTGTAACTGTGCCTGCCTTGCAATAAAACGCCTTAAGTTGACTCAGCAACAAGGTCTCTGTCCGTTTCCTGCAACACTGTGTCCTTCCTCAGTGGCTTTGTAAGAAAGTCCAGGGCAGACCTACAAGTGGTTGACATGCCAAAGGTCTCAGCCGGGTGTCACCTTATTACTCTGTCAAAGGTGTCACTAGACCTCATAGTTGTCTGCACATGGGGCAGTATGCGTGGTCAGCTTCTCTACTCTTCATATCAGTCAACTCTAGAAATCTCTAGTCATGGCATAACCCTGTTAGGCCAAGGGGCTACTATCTGCCACTGTTCTCTACTTCTGCAGTCCCCACTCATTTCCCTGAGACTCTAGGACAAGCCACAAACTCGCTGAACCTCAGTGTCCAGAATGGGGATAATGACACTTCCTATAGTTATGGTGATAAGTGCCCGTAAAGGACATCCCATGGCTGGTACTTCATACATTGTAAACACATTGGGTATGGCAGCACTCAATAAATGGTGGTTATTTTATTTGTTAATAAAAAATTGAAAGAACACTTTAATTCCTTATAGTTGGGTTTTGATTGAGAACACTGAATAATGGCTGAGTAGCTCCTCAGGCCTCCTTGCATAAAGCCATTAGGAAAATGGGTGACAAGTCAGGGTACAAAAGTCAGAAGAGAATCTGCCATTCCCTACCTTGAGCATGTAGCTGAATACCTTCATTTCTCCCTCTGTGGGATTGGGCAGGTGTTTTATCTCCTTCACAGAGGTGACACGATGGCTTTTACAGGAAGGGAAATTTACCACGCACACAGATGTATGAGGACCATCTTTCCCACCTGTTTGCAACCTTGGGTCTATGCTATCAAAGGGCAGGTGAGTCTCTCTCTAAATTCTGACAAAGAGGTCTCATCTCATTCACCGTGGGGAAGAATTGGTCCCATCTCAGGCCTTGGCAGACTGTATTTGCCATTTTAGTAGAAAGCACTTTTGAGAAAACCCCAGCACCCTCCCCCACCACACCTGAGATTTCAGTATAAACAAAATGCGAAGCAAAGACAAGAGCTAAGGTAATTCCTTGCATGTTGGGTGGCATCTGAAGTGGTTGTTCTCTGGTTGCCATGGGATGGATTGTAGTCCCACAGATATTAATCCTGGACTTCAAGCCATGCAGAGTAGAGATATTTTCTACTTTCTACCTTGCAGTGATTAAAATGGTAATAATAATACAGTAGCAAGTAACAGTTATTAAGAACTTAGCATATGCGTATCACTGGGCAAAGCACTTTACAAGCACTGGCTCATTTAACTGTTACAACAACCACATGAGGTAGGTACTCTTAAGTCCCATTACCTGGGTGAGAAACTGGGGCATGAAATGGCTAGGTAATTGGGCCAGCCCCTCCAGTTGGTGGGAGTCATAGCTGGGATGCACTAGGTCTTCCTGACCCCACTGCGCTCAGCGGTTTCCCCATGGTCCCTGTCTGCTTTTCTGGCTTCTGACTTTGAACCTCGCCTTTGGAAATTACTTATATCCCCTCCCTGATTGTCACAATTATTGTCTAAGCTCTTGGCAAATGTATTCCAACTAGTAGCAAGTCAACATGAAAAGTAAAGGTTTTAATTTTAAAAATTAGCATTTTTTAAAATGTAAAATATATACTTCTGAAATGAGTCCAGGTTCAGCCTACCTCATGCAGAATTCTGCTTCTCTTTGGCATTCTGAGGTTCCAGTGCATCATATCCAGGGGAAGGGAAAGTACTAACTGGATGCCAATGTTGAGCCCAAGAGCCATCTCGGGTAAATGAGAAAGCACTGACTAAAGGCAAAACAGTCTTAGATTCTTGAGTAAAATGATGCTACCTCTAACCTCAGTTCCTAAAGTCTTTTTCAAAAGAAAAACATTATTCATGTGGGAGGAAAATAACCTCTTCCCACTTCCCAGGAACAGCTTATGCAGAAGGTGGTGTTCTTGTGTATCTGTTTGCAGGGCCCCAGGAGTTTAAAGCAGCCACGTATTTGCCAGCAGAATGTACCAGGTACAGTTGGTGCCTTGTCCGTACTCCGGCCTTTCTCTGGCTGTGCGCATCCCAGCTCCAAAGTGCTGGGTTTTTATTCCCCTCCCCACTGAGACCAGCCCTGGCCCAAGACTGGAGAAAGCTGGTATATAAATGCCCCAGCTCCCTCATCCCAGTGGGGCGTGCTCTACACTGTTCTGAGTTCCCCGGGGAGGTGACACTCCAGTGGCCCCTGGTGGGAACCAGTTTAACCCATTTTTGTTGGCTGCCTTTCCATCTTGTCTCACATCCATGCTTCTCAACCAGCGTTTCCTGGGAGCCCCTCCCCAGTAAGTAGTTAATTTGCGTACAAATTCCTGTCTTAGCATCTACTTCTGGGGGGAGCCCAAATGAATGAAACATGCTGGTGCTGGTCAGTTATAGAAATAACAATGACCTAGTGTCATTCGGGACTAAGCCGTTTCCCAGCTTGTTCTTCTGCTGAAACCTCCGCTGTGTGAGGAACTGGAAAGGAGACCTTATAAATTGGAGACCCACGTGCCAGGGAGCAACTTCCTTCCTATGAAACAGGCCTCTCCACACCTTATGAGATATTTTTCCTTTAAATGAAAGACTCACCAAACCTGTGAGACCCGGGCCAGAATCACCTGATGGCAAATCAAATTACAATTTAGCAGCTAGAACAAGTAATTAAATATAAAGGGAGTGATGGGAAGAGGAGAGAGCGGGGACCCTAAAGCCCACTTTCACCTCGCAAGGACTCCTGTTTGCCTTGGAACCACTTCTGCTTCAATTAACATTGATTGGGCCTGCCTACCCGGTGGCTCTGTCAAATTCCATTTCCAGAGGCTCTAAGACGCTGTCTGCCAGCCTTTGTTGTGCGGGGACATTTGGGTAGGAGTATTGAATGTGGTGTGGAGTAGCTAAGGCATCGATCAGGGCTGTTATACAAGAGGCCGGCTTTTTCTGGCAGGGCAGTTTTGTAAACGAGATTTCACCTTTGAAAATTCTCCAAGTTCAAGTTACGATGCTCTAGAACAGCGTGTCAGACTGACCCACTACGGCTTTCAAAGATAAATGTTGAGCATGTCAACCCCGTAAAGTAAGAAGATGTGCCCTAATCTTTGTTAGAGGAATGAAACACCTAATTTATTTTTATTGTTGTTGGGAGAAGGGCACACAAAGAGACATATTTATTTTGTGGGGTTCTCTGTAAGGACTTCGATGTTTATGATATCAGAGATGTGACTGAAATTATAGTATGTGCCGGGGTCTGCCTTGTCTCTTTTCTTGCCCTTTCCTAAAGTCTTGGAGGGTGGGCTTATCCATATTTTATGCAAGATTAGGATAAGACTATCAGGAAAAAAATCGAGAATAATATTGTATTAGGATCTTAAATGACCAAGGACCTCGTATACAGGGAAAAACACTACTACTCTTGGTACCTTTTCATGCCCACATTTTAAATCTCATTAATTACTATTTTTTTCACGAAACGTTAAAATGCTACGTCTGCCCTAATAAAACGTACTTTATGAATCAAATCATTTTAGTTATTTAAATCTGATTACAAATTTAAATAAATAAATTGTTTTAAATATTTCAATAAAATCTCTACCAATTTCATTTAAAAGCTTCACACACTTTCAAAGCGGGCTGCAGGCACCTGTGTGAGCACGCGCACACACACACACACACACACACACACAGGTAATCACAATGGAATTCGAAATGTATTATACCTACATTTAATGGATTAAGAAGTATTTATGCTATGGGTTTGATTTATGTCTTCATTATTGATAAATTTGTATTATCACTTCCCTGTTTTCTTAAAAATAATTCTCGGTGTTTACACTTTCCTAGAGTTACAGTCATCTTGCCAGACTCGAAAGAAAAAGAAATGAGTTTACAGATTTGGGGTTATGAGCCACTTGATTTTTTGGTTGGCATATGGGAACTTCGTGGATCTCTTCAAAACTGAGTCAGTCCTGGGCTGATGTTTACTGGCCTGAATTTTTCTTAAGAATCAAGGTTCAGTTGCTGTGCCAACGAATTGTTGGGAAGCCCTTTTCTTATACTCGCAGCAGGGAGAGCCCCTGAGAGCTTCCATGTCCATCAAATCCTAGTCCCAGGCGGTGAGCCTTGACTTCGTGATACCTTGGTTTCTCAGTATTTTTTTAATAAAACACATCGGGAAATTTCTTCATCTAGAGGATGAAAGGAGGAGTCTGGTCAGCTGCTTCGCTTCATGCATCAGCTTCCAACACAATTGGACCCTCTACCGGTTATTACATATGGCCAGAGGAGAGGATCACTTCTTTGGCCCATTAAGAAAAATCTTTAACTTTTCTTGAGTTATTTGACTTAAGATTCACTGTAACCTTTCCTTTTCACTTACTGAGAATCAATAGGTATATATATATATGTTAAAATGTACATCAAATAAAAGTACCAGAACATCTATATATATGTCTATAGAACATCCATATATATAATATATATAATCTCTAACCTACTTATTAAAAAATATTTCTAAGAATATGCCCTTTTGTGTTGTAATTAGCTTTTTGTATACCTTTTACTTTTTTGTTGTTGAATACTGTTATGACTCCAGGCTTTTCACAGACTTAAGTTACTCCAGTGAACCGTAATATTCTCGTAGCTTAAATTAGTGCAAAGTGGACACATCCTTAAGTATTCTCCCTTGTCTTTTCAGCATTACTCCTGAGACATTTTTGAAAGTTTCTTGCATAGCCGTATTGATTTCTCTCTGCTATTGCTAAGATCTGAGTTCCTGAGAAGCCCTGATTCCTGATACAGAGACTAGCGCTCGGATTGCGTATCAGTTTCATCCTCATGAATGGGGTGGTGATAGACAAAATCATACTGCTTTTCACCACTGTAGGGGAAGTGCTGGAAAAGTATGTATTTTAAAATCATAAATTTTCATTGCCGTTTTCTGATATGAATGCTATTAATTTTTGATTGCTTAAAAATGTTTCAATTGCCATAGACAGTCAATATTATATTAGTT